AGATATCCTTAGTTGTACTTTTGAGACGGTGATGTCCTTGTCATCCAAAAACTAGATCATATATACCTTTCACTCTAACAGAAGACGAAACAGGGACATATAGTGCAATCTTATCCGTTGGACCAGTTGATAAGATGATGACACATGTTTATCGATTAGTGAAAATGATATTATATGCCTTAGTTTCTGATTAACAAGAGTATCAATATTCCAAAAATATGTACATAGAATTTACGATAGTTTCGAGTCATTTTCTATAAATAAAAAAAACGAAACACGAGTTTGTAGAGGGTAAAAGGGTAAATAAAGATCCGCTATTTTCGTGCAGAAGGGGTCGAAAATTGGCGATAACACCGATGCGAACGCTGTATTAAACCTAAATTTTCCCACTCCTCCATTTGTCTGTGATCTCTCTCTCTCTGCAAAACTTCTCTTCTACACTCTTCTTCATCGTCGAAGCAATAACAATGTCGTGCTACAAGGGAAAATACGCCGGTAAAACTTCACACTCAATCTTCATTCCTTCACAAATAATGAACTGATTTTTAATTTTGCTTATTTTGATCCTAAATCTGTGTCTTCTGCTCATAGATCCAGATCTGGTTGGTTTGCATTTTAGTTTTTAGATCGTAGTGGTTGATTTTTGCTTTTTTTATTTGTGCTCATTTTGTTTTGTTTGATTTAGTTGTTTAGTCCTTCATTACCGATGGTTCCTTCCTGGATCTTGCGTTAGTGTGTTTATACTCTTTGCACTACTCTATTGTTTCAATTAGAATGTATTATTCAGTGCGAGGGCGAATTTACTTAGTTTTCTGCATGTATTTGGGCGTTTTTCTAGTTGTGCTGTTTCTGTTTTGTTTTGTTCAAGTTTGATCATTGGCAGCGAGGTCCTTTCCTGGATCTCTCGCGTTAGAGTTTTTATACTCTTTACAATACTCTATTGTTTCAATTAGAATGAATTATTCAATGCGAGGGTGAAATTACTTAGTTTTCTGCATGTATTTGGACCTTTTTGTAGTTGTGCTGTTTTTGTTTTGTTTTGTTTTGTTGAAGTTTGATCTAGTTGTTTAGCCCTTCCCATTCTTGGATCTCTTGTGTGAGAGTGTTTTATACTCTTTCCAATACTCTATTGTTTCAATTATAACAAATTATTCATTGCGAGGACGAAGTTACTTAGTTTTCTGCATGTATTTAGACATTTTTCTAGTTGTGCTCTTTTTGTTTTGTTTTGTTGAAGTTTGATCTAGTTGTTTAGCCCTCATTAGCGAGTTCGCTCACTAGATCTCTTGCGTGAGAGTGTTGTTTATACTCTTTTAATACTCTATTGTTATAATTAGAATGAGTAATCCAGTGCGAGGACGAACTATATTTTCTGCATTCTTTAGGACATCTTTTCTTAAATTTTAAAAATATAAAATTTCATTTTGTCTGAATTTATATTAAAAATGTCAAATACGCATATTCTCTCAGAAGTGTCAATGTTTGTTCTTTTTTCCTTTTTGTAATGTTGTGATTTGTTTTCTATTAAGTAGTATCTGTTATGAGAAGTAAAATTAGTTCATTTTGATGTAAAAGTGAAAGCCTTTTAGCTCTTTTGACTTGTAAAAATAAGGGAAGTGAACAGTCGAACTTTTGAGGGGCTTGATGGTTGATATGCTCGTCATAAAGAAAGATATTTGAAAAAATTTGATGAGTGTATTATGCTTGTTTTTGCACCATTCGCTCCAATTGTAGATCCTTGCTATTCAATTTATCTGCAACTCACTCTGCCTTCGTGTGTTTGTGCTTCACAGCTTGTTTGCTCTATGGTGTTATTAATCTGCCGCCTTTGAAGACTGTTTAAATTGGGAATGTTGTTTCCTGCCAATTGGCGTTTATTGATCAACTGATCTAATAGTATCGATATACCTACCTTTTGTAGTTTATGCTTTAACTTTCAGTTTGGAATGAAATTAACTGATCTGTTAGTGTCAAGTAGTACTCACGTAAAATGGATATTGGAATTGATGCAGATGAACTGATCAAGAATGCTGCATACATAGCTACCCCTGGTAAGGGTATCCTTGCTGCTGACGAGTCTACTGGTACAATTGGCAAGCGTCTATCCAGCATTAATGTTGAGAATGTCGAGTCAAACAGGAGGGCTCTTCGAGAGCTGCTCTTCTGCGCACCTGGAGCTCTTCAGTACCTTAGTGGAATTATCTTGTTCGAGGAAACCCTTTATCAGAAGACAGCAGCTGGTACGTTTATATGAATTCTAATGTCTATTTTTGTATGTGGAAAATGGATCAATAATCTTGAGCTTATCTGGTAATTGCACTTCGATATTTTACATTATTATATTCTGACAGTTTTTACTTGCATCTGCAGGCAAGCCTTTTGTTGATGTTATGAAGGAGGGTGGAGTCCTCCCTGGAATTAAAGTCGACAAGGGTACCGTAGAGCTTCCCGGAACCAATGGTGAGACAACTACCCAGGGTCTTGATGGCCTTGCGGAGCGCTGCCAAAAGTACTATGAAGCCGGTGCTAGGTTTGCCAAATGGCGTGCAGTGCTCAAGATTGGTGCCAATGAGCCATCTCAGCTCGCTATCAATGATAATGCCAATGGCCTTGCCAGATATGCCATCATCTGCCAGCAAAACGGTCTTGTCCCCATTGTTGAGCCTGAGATCCTTGTTGATGGATCCCATGACATTAACAAGTGTGCTGATGTCACAGAGCGTGTTCTTGCTGCTTGCTACAAGGCCCTCAATGACCACCATGTCCTCCTCGAGGGTACATTGTTGAAGCCCAACATGGTCACTCCCGGATCTGATGCCCCTAAAGTTGCACCAGAGGTCATTGCGGAGTACACCGTACGTGCCTTGCAGCGAACAATGCCAGCTGCTGTTCCTGCTGTGGTTTTCCTGTCTGGTGGTCAGAGTGAGGAAGAGGCTACCCGCAACCTCAACGCCATGAACAAACTTCAAACCAAGAAGCCCTGGACCCTCTCCTTCTCCTTCGGACGTGCTCTCCAACAGAGCACCCTCAAGGCCTGGTCAGGAAAGGTGGAGAATATCGGGAAGGCCCAAGCTGCACTTCTCACAAGGTGCAAGGCCAACTCTGAGGCTACCCTTGGAAAGTATGCCGGTAGTTCCAACTTGGGCGACGGTGCTTCCGAGAGCCTTCACGTCAAGGACTACAAGTATTAGGACATTATTCGGTTCCCTCGCTCTCTTTTTGGTTTCTGTTTTGATGATGAGGTTTTGCAAGATGGTTTACTAGAAGTGTCTTTTACCGGTCATAGTGTGCTAGTCTTTTCTTTTTGTCACACGATTTGTTCAATAAAAGCTTGAGAAACGTCGGCTTTGTGACATTGTAGGGGTCTTTATTAGTGTGTTAATCTAGATTATGTTATCGGATTTATTCCCTGTTGGGGTTTTACATATTAATCTTTGGTTTTTGCATATCATGATCTTTATGTTACTTCATTTTCAAATAATTCTAGTTTGAGTTCATAGATCTACAATGAACGTACCCTGTATCTCAAGTCCCTACTCATAAGGCCAATCTTACATTCGATCAAGCAGACTCAAGCTCACTTAAAGTACATAATGGACTAGTCTTACCTAAAACAGAACTGGTTATCCATCAAAAAAATTAACCCCAGGCTTCTCTGTGTTTGGATTGAGTCATGTATCAGGTACAGTATCTTGAGAAAACTGAAACATAATTTGTATTTAAGCAAACTATCGCCCCTCTTAAGTAATTGAATAGCGTTTTTTTTTAAAAAAAATTCCTCAATAGAGTTCCGATAAAAAATATCCCCTAGTTAAAATACAAATCTTATGAAATCGTATTGAATATGTTATTATTACATGCATGATTTAGATGAATAGTGTGAGAAACTATTGTTTGCAGAGATCTGTTTCTGAATAGTGTAAGATGTTGGCAGATCAACAATACTACATATTAAAGGTTCTTTTTCTCTTCCGATCTGTCTTCAGTGTATTAATGAATAGTGCTGAATTACTGATAGCGTTTCTGATCAGCCATTCTTGTGGATAGTTTTGACTTCTCTGCTTCAATTTGTTCGTTTTATTTTTTTTTTGTCTCTTAAAAAAATATTTTTTCTTTTTTTGATAACTTTTTAAAAGGAAAATGCACAAGTACCCCTCAAGATATGCCCGAAATCCCAAAGACACACTTATACTATACTAAGGTTCTATTACTCTTGTGAACTTATTTTATAAGTAATTTTCTACCCTTTTTTAGCTTACGTGGCACTAGTTTGAAAAAAAAGTCAATCATTGTTGGGCCCACAAGATAGTGCCACGTAAGCTAAAAAGGGTAAAAAATTATTAATAAAATAAGTTCAGGGGTAATAAGACCTTAGTATAGTATAAGTGTGTCTCTGAGATTTCGGGCATAGGTTGAGGGGATACTTAGGCATTATCCCCTTTTTTAATACTATCTTTTTTCATGATAGATTTAAATTACAAAATTAAAGAATATTTTTTCAAGTTCAACACCACAAAACTTGGAGGTTCCTTTGTTATTTCTTAAAAATTCGTGCCTAGCTAAAATGAGACAAACAAACTAAAATAACGGATGTAGTTAAAAAATATTTTCTATGTTTCAGTTTATGTGACACATTTTATTTTTCGAGATTAAGATGATTTAAGCTTGATTGAAGAGAAAATTTGCGCATGAAATCTTTAATTTTTTTGAAATAAATTTATATGTTTGTAAACTATGTAAAATATACTGCAAGTCACAATGATTGACAATTCGAAATATTGAAAGTTATACTAAAAAATAACGATCAAAGGTAAATTTATTTAAATCTCAAAATTTAAAATATGTCACGTAAACTGTGACGGAGGAAAGAAGCATCCCCTCTAGATTTACAAGATGACTAGAAATGGCAAAACTGATCAATCAGTTCCCTAGCTTTATTCTCTGTTTAATTCTTTTCTCATGAAATAAATTGTCTTCTTCCAATGTTTTCTAAAATCACCAAAACAATTTATATTCACTCCAAACAAGTTGCTAAACAAATATTCATAAAAAAATTGATGAATTTTTGTGTCATAAAAAAGGAAAGAAATATTTTATATGCATGGATGATGGCATTGATTTGACAAGTAACTGCGATATACTATAACAAAGGTACTTATTTTAGTTTTCACCTCATTATCCAAATTGGAAAATCTGACCATAGTATGTAATTAAGCCCTGCAAACCATAGTATAAATGGTTAAATATTTACTCCCCCTTAAATGATATTAATTTATCATTGATTAAACAATTCATTGAGGTGAGAATATATATAGTAATATTTGTATTGTATGTATCAATTTCTTAGCAATTATAAACTTAAAAGACAGTTGTGGTGAAATGGAATTTGGGTTTGAGTTGTGGGCCGGGCCGGATCTACCCGTACTCAATGGTGTCAAGCGATGTTTTTTCGTGAAAAATTTATATTGTATATAAATATTAAATTTTAAGTATTGACGTTACTTGACACAAGTTAAAATTTTAGTCTTATGATTAAGGTATTTTGAAAAATTGCTTTAGGTCGTGTGTTATAGCCATACTTTTATTACAAACATTGACACCCGTTAATGAAAATAATAGATCCACTTTGGTTGTTGATACCAACAATCATTAACGTCTCTGAATGGAAATTCTAAATCCGCTACTGATTATAGATACCGGGTATGAAAAATCTTGATAGAAGATATTTTTTCTTAATGAAAAAAGAAGATGAAGTATGTAGAATAATTTGAATTCACTCATGATTTTAGTCATTTTAAAATAAGATACACAAACTGCTTGAATAATATTTAGCATTGAATTGATTTCAAATAATTTTTTACGCATACATTTATGATCCATATCGAAAATATTAAATTTAAATGAACTCGATTCAATTGCTAAGGGTTGGTAAGAGTATGTAACTACGATTATTAAAAAATCATGATACAAATAAACTATCATGTCATCTTTATCTGTTCCATATATAGATAACAAAATCTCATTTTTAAGATTTCAAATTCCACATTTTAAAAAACTTTCCTAAAAATATTTTATCTAGTGTGACTTTTCTTTTTATAAATAATGTGTAGAAAAGTTATAAGAAATTAAAGCTTACTGTAAATATTGTGTGATGTGTTTCACCACTTTACAAAGTCCTTGAAAATTAGTGATATTAATTAAGGAAGAATACCAAATTATTCAAGCATGTTCAAGTTAGAAAATGAATATTAAAAGGCATTTGAAGATTAATTATATGATTAGCAAATCCAACTAGAAGCTAGGAGGAAACTAAACCAACAAATTAAAAAGAGAAAAAAAAATTGAAGAAAAATTAAGCACATCAGACCAACAAATATGAAGAAAAAAATCTCAAAAGAATGTCTAAAAGTAATTAAAAATTTAGATATAAATAGATCCAAATCTAATCTCCTAGAATTAGTCAACTTCAATCCCTCTAAATTCCACAAAAAAAATAAAAATTAATCAACTAGCATCCTCAATAAAACAAAAATAACATAGTCAAATTTAAACTACTTACCTCCTATCACAAACTCTTTTTCTTGTTCAGACTCTCCAGAAATATTATCTTATTTGTGTCAGATCCTGAAACATGCGATACTACACTTTCAAAGAATCCGAGCAATATAGCCACCATCCATTGTATCATGAATATTTGGCACATGTCTTGATGTTTCACAATATGAACTCAATGAATTCATTTCCTTTTGCTTCTTGTTACAATAAGACATTGAACCATATTCATCATTATAATTTATAGTACTATTCATCACGATTTTTTCTCCATTTAATCTACGTAACGTATCGATTAAAACTGCGTCGCGCTCTTCAATCCATGCTCTCTCATCAGCCCAAAATTTTTGTTGTTTTTCTAACCTAATTTCCTCTTTTTTCCTCCATTCTTCTTCCCTTAAAATCCTCTCTTTTTCCTTATCTTCAATTGTCTTCATCATTTTCTCTAACCAAATATCTTGTTTTTCCATTAATTTCCTCATTTGTATGTCCATAAAATCACTTATCATACCTTTCCAACTCCTTTTCCCTTTTTTCTTACTATTCTTCCTCTTTGAATCATCATTAGACGAATTATCTGAGTCATCAGAATCAGAGGAATCATAGAGATTGTCGTCAGATACCTTAGGACAATGATGAGGTTGTTGATTGTAGTGTACTTGATATTGATGAAATGTGTTTGTATTAATTGTGTTACTTGTTTTACCATAAAGAGCTTCAAGTTGTCTAAAGTATCTATAATGTTTACCATCTTGTCTACCAGCTTTCCCATCTTTAGTCTTCTTGTAGTATTTGTACAAATTCTCAAATTTCTCCCTACACTTTTTTCCAGTTCTTTGATATCCATATTCCTCAGACATAATCCTAATTAAAAAAATAAATAGATGAAACTAAATAAGAAGCATAATTATTGAATATTGTAATATACTTAATATCTAGTCAATTTTATTCTATATAACATTATTTGACTAGATACGAGGTTTCAATCAATCAAGTAAGACTTTGTAACACATGAGCAAAACCTATAGAACTTATAAACCAGTCAGTTAGGGATGTTCATGAAAAATCAAAAAAATTGAACCAAAGCATAAAAAGAATCGAATCAAACCGACCATGATTATAAAAGAATGTTATTAATTAAGGTTACGCCCCATGAATATTTTGGTTTGATTTTAGTTTTACGTATTTTTTCTTTTTTTAAGTTTAATGTGATCATAATAGTAAAACGAGATATCTAAAGTTACTTGTTAAGAAAATATAGTATCATATAAATTAAAACAGAGAGACGAAGAAATTAAGATCGGAGCCCTAAAACCAAATGATGCATCAAGTTCAAGTGATATTGACATAAGCATGATAAAATAGTGTACTTGGCCTTCCAAAAGATGTTCTGCCATTTTTTCTTTAACTAAAATGAAGTAAAAAAAGTGTCCTTTAAATTAATAAGACTACTCATTCTCAAATTATGTGCTGATAAATTATCAGAAAAAAAAGAAGAAGGTGAAAATAAGTACACCTCATTCTTCAACTTCAGTGTCATTTTCTTACACAAAAATAGTAACCAAATTAATTAATTTACTCAAGAGGTTGCTTGCCTATCTAGAAATTAAAAATAAAGGAGGAATAATAGGTAAATTAAACTAGTATATAGTTAAATTTTAGCGCTCAAACTATCAAAATTCTGCTATTTTCCATCGGAAATAGCGAAGAGTAATTAGTTGAATATCTTTATCGAAAAATTATGCAATAAATATAAAGAATTATTTACTTTTCTATATATATGTAATTACAATATATTGTAAGTATTTTTGATAAAATTTCTGACTCCAATTCTATTAGTTTCGACAAGCAATTTCTCATAGACTTCAAAGGAAAATTCCATAAGAAATACTACAAAGTGTTTTAGTAGTATTAGTAATAATCATTAGAAATAATATAATTAAGTAATTCAAAATACACAGTCAAATATGCAGATTTTCCAAGAATGTTCAGAATAGTGAAGAGTAATTAGTTGAAAATCGAAAGATTATGCCGTAAATACAGAAGATTATGCTACATATATGGTACAAAATTTACTTTTTGTACATGTATATTTACTAATACGGTATATTTTAAGACACATCCTTAGTAAAATTCGTGACTTCACCTCTGTTTAGTTTCTACAAGCAATTTCTAACCGATCTCACAAAGAAAATGAATTATGTTTTAGTAATAGCAATCGCGAGACATAATATAATTAAGTAATTAAAAAGTAGTCTGTCACGCAATTTGTTTTCATACAAATTAGAATTAGGTTAAAAGAATTTGTTACCTAGAGACTTCATCCCAAAGAGGACCTTTTTGAATAGCTTCTTTGAACTTAGAATCAAGTTGTGATCTAACTTCAAGTAGTTTAAGTGTCTCTTGCCTTGGCCACCTCCCATTTCCACCCTCCGTCTCCATCGCGCTTAACGCGCACCCACCACTAACAGTACTACCTGCCACCACGGTTCTAGATTCGGGATGAAACCCGTGATGGTAATGATAATGATGATGACGAGGAAAATAGTCTTCGTGTTGAGGCACATGAGTAGTAGTTGTAGTAGTAGTAGAAGTCATTAACATATCGAAATGTTGGTTACTACATAATAAATCTGGTGTCAGATTTGGTGAAACTGAAGAAAATAAAGGCCTTCCATTTAGGTACTGCGTTAGATCCATCATACCATACTGATTGTCATCATCCATTTTCTTCTCCCGAAAACGAAAAAAGCTGCAGCGCAGTTGTTTGGGAGGTAAGAAGATGGATGATGAAGAATTTAAAATTAGTGGCTTAAAATCAAATATTAACGTGACAGTAAGTAAGAGAAATGAGATGATAATAGAAGCGGCTGACCCGGATCGTGTCGAATTTATTTTTTTTCAAAAAAGTATAAATTTGAGAGTATATAAAAAGGGGAGCTATAAAGGAATGAATATATATGGACCCATTTTTCACTGTTCACAGGCAGCTGCAATGTAAAAGCTTATTCACTTTTTTTTTTTCCTTTTTCTTTCTGTTGCTTCTGGATGTACATGCAGAGGTGGAGCTAGTAAGGTTTTCGGAGTTCATTTTAATACATTTTAATGGAAAATTATTGAAAATATTTTTAAATTTAAAGTAAATTATTAGTTTCGTCTCTGAATTATTGATAGTCTATTTATAAATCACTATCTACTTGGATAACTAATTAACTTAAAGGAAATTTAAAAATAATTAATTACTCTCTATAGCTATAGTTTGATAATTATAATTTGTAGCTACATGTTATTTGGAGGAGAGAGAGGCGAGAGAGACTGGGAGAGAGAGGAGAGAGAGTGGGGAAAAGAGTGGGAGAAAGGTGAATTGTATATGTATATTGGTTAGATAATTGTATATTATACTTATGTAATTGTATATATGGCAAGAGAAATTGGGAGAGGGAGGAGAATGGGAGAGAGAGGAGAGAGGCGATCGAGATCGAGAGAGGCGATCAAGAGAGCGCAGAGAGTGGGAGAGAGATAACTTGTATATATATATAATTGTATATTATACATATACATTTGTATAAATGACAAGCGAGATTGGGAACGGGAGGAGAGAGGCGAGCAAGAGAGGTCAGAGAGTCGGAGAGAGGTGAATTGTATATGTATATTGGCCAAAAAATTGAATATTATACATATTTATTTGTATATCCTGGCGAATTATACATATACAAACATGACTAAGTATATAAACTCGAAGTCAGCCCACGTAATTAATGTATAATGTTAATCGCGAGTGATAATTATAGCAAACTATAGCTATGATGAATAAGTTTGTTTATCCGTGTAATTTTCTCTTAACTTAAATACATTTATGATCTGTCACATGACATATATGACAAGTGATTTCAAACTCTTGTAAAAGCATATAACTTTTAATGAAAAATCGAGAGAAGTTTGAAAGCATTTCTAAATTTGACAAGAACCTAGAGATATATTTCACTCAAATAGCAAGATTCGAAGTATGTTTAAGTTCAGTTAGTCAAGTAAAAAGTGTTTTTAAGATTGTCAATAGTTCAGAAACGAAGCTAATAATTCGCACTAAATTTAGAAATATTTTCGATACTTCTCTCGAATTTATATTTTGTTAAAATTGTTTTTTATGTATAGATACCTTGAACCTATTTAATAAAAATCTTAATTCTACGCTTACATAATATTAGTGCACAACTCATAAAAAAATTCAGCATTAATGTGTTCAATTCCAATTTTTTGTTTTTACTATTCTTGATTTAAAAAATCCAGGAAAACTTAGGGTTTTTGGAGCTAGGTATAAATGAAAGTGATGGTAGAAGCAGAGTACTTTATATTTTATATAGTTACGTTACACCTTATTGGAGTAGTGTCCTTGTATATAATTAAACACACGAAATATAAAGTACAATTTGTTGGAAAAAAATTACTTTCTGTCACAATTTATGTGATATTTTTATTTTTGAAGAATCAAACGATTTAAGGTTGATTGGAAATTTACGCTTAGAATTTTCATTTTTAAAAATAAAATTTATATATTTTTAAACTATGTAAAAAGTACTATAAGTCAAAATAATTGATAATTCAAAAATGTTTAATTAAAAGATAAATGAAAAATTTATCATCAAAGATAGATTTATTTAAATTTCGAAATTCGAAAAGTGTCACATTTAGACATATAATATTATCTAACTACTTATTGTGCTTCTAATTGATTTTTCTCAATATCAAAGTTCGAAATTTAAGACATTTAATTAAGAATAAAACAATCTCACTAGCGCAACACAACTAGATTATGGTGAATTAGTCACATTCTTTTTGTTCTCTTTAACAACAATATTAATTTTCTACTTGGGTTTCAACTTTCAAAAAAGTTGTCTTATTAAATTTGCAACATATATACATGTTGTGCAGACGTAAGACACAATAAGATCTAAAATAACCTATACAAAATATTCTTATCGTTAACTTTATACGTAGCTTAAAAATAATACTCTTATCTATCGTTAGTAATTCAAAAATGCATTCCAAACTATTGTTTGCTCCGACCCAAAAAAAAAGATAAAATTTGCCCTTATACTATTTGAAATAAGAAATTTTTGCTCGCGATTATTTAGCTAATATCATCATCAAAACATTTAAAACCAGTGAAATTGTGTCTCTGGTCATTTTTAACATATCATAAATTATCCTGAAAAAAAATTATATTTGTTTTGTGATCATTCTTAAAGTCATCAAGCCCGATGATGTCAAGAAAAGGCTCTTGAAATTTGAAGTGACGTTTAAATGTGTATTCATATGAATTTAATATTTTCAATGTTTGAATATAAAATTATATTCATAAAATTTTATAAAAGTTAAAGACACAAAATATAATAAATTTAGTATTAACTTTTTAAAAATTATATTTACAAAATTTAAATTCTAAATATGCTTCGAGCGGAGCTATTTCCATTCTTGAAAGTAAATCTCTCCAAAAGAAGAATCCAAACCGCCCAAAATCAAAAGTACCCACCCACCTATGTTTAGTGCACAAAGCTACCTTTGTCTCCCTTTCATCAGACACCTGAATGAAAACAAAAACAAAATTAAATTTCTCAATATAAATATGTTAATAGGAACTCCGATAGATTAATTTATTAGTGTTGTTTCGATATAGGGAAAAGAAAAAGGATAGGTTATTTCAAGTTATAAAATCTGATAAATTTTGAGACGAAATGCTTCATATAGATATAGGAATGTTTCACATTAAACGAATTAAATAAGACTTCAAAATATATGTGATTAATACTATAAGTAAACAAATAACATTTTTTTATAGATAGTTATTTTTTTATCAAAACATGAACACATAATCGTAATTTCAACCCTCGCTAAAACAATTATTCTGATCTTCATTCATATTCATAAATAAAATAAACAAACATCATCTAAGCTCGAAGCTATTTCTTAAAATATCAATTTTTGAATAAGTTTGTTTATATCAAATACAAAATTTTGGTCTAAACTACTTCCCCCTTGGTCCCCTTTTTTTTTTTTAGGAAAAAAAGAAAGACTTCTTAAAACTTATAATCTAAAATAAATCTTGAATATTTGTTTGATAGTAAATCATTTCATTGATAGTAATAGAGATATTTTCAAATTAAATTATTTTTAATTATAGCAAAATAAAATTCTTTTTGAGACAGACTAAAAAAGAAAAAGTATCATATAAAATATACCGAAAAAAGTAAAATATATCGAATTTGTAATTAAAACTCTAACTCCGTTCCCGATGAAAAGCTTCACATCTCTGATGACTTCTTGTTATTACATCCATGCATTGACATTGTGATAAACATGTGGACAATGTACTTGGCTTTAACTTGCAGAAGACAGAGCTAGCTAGCACAAGTAATCAGTAGTTACTTTTGAGTACTGGTCCATATTTACTATTAGTACGATAATAACATATTTTGTGAAATTTCAAAAATAAGATATGAAAAAAATTAAATAATATACATAGAAAGACTATTCTCAATAAACTGAATTTCACATCACTTTTTCTCCATAGTTATAATTATTAAAGTTTGAAACGAAATTTAAAATATTATAGTACAAAGATGGTGTTATTGAAAATAATAACAAAGTTGCATAATTGAGGGCCTACTATATATGTGACATAAAATGTTATTATTATGATTATATATATGAGATCAAAAAGGGGTAAGAATTTTGAAAGCTTTGGGAGGGGACTAGGTGCTTGTTTTTGCATAATAGGAAAGTATACCCTACTTACTTAGCTAGCTTTATCTTCGTATTTTTCGTTTCAATTTATGTGATAATATTTGACAGAATAATAATTTTTTTAAAAAAATATATTTTAAAATTTTAGCATTTAAAACAATCCAATCTTACATTGTAAATGTCTAGCTTCGAAAAAGTAGGAATTAAGGGTAAACTTAAGAAACTTTATTGATATAAAATAAATATAAGTGATTTTAATGGATAATCTGTTATATTTGGATAACCATATAAGTTATTATTAACTCCAAAGAATCGAGTTGATGGGTCTTTAGTACATATGTATTAGTGAAGTTGTTGGAATTCCTATGCTTTAAATAAGATATCTCGAAGTCAAACATGCATTGTAAATGAAAGAAAGATCGATAGAATTTGAATTACTAGCTTTTGTTGACTCACTTAGCGTGAGGTAAAATTATTCCACTACAAAATTACATATACAACAATATTAATATAAGACATCTTGCAAACCATAAATTTTATAAATTTATATTTTTTAAAGCTCCATACTAATTCAACAAAATCATATAACATAAATTGAACTAAAATGAATATTAAGAAAAATTAACATTTTGTTTAATTTTTTATTTACTGTCCAATGTTCATTTAAAGCCTCAATAAATTTAAATTCTATTGAAATTTTTTTTGATACTATAAATAAAACGCTTCTTAACGAATACGATTATATATCAGAGTTATTTCAAAATGTGCTATATAGGCCTAAATACTTTTGACATATGTCTATTAATACATGTTTTGTGGGTCCAAATTAATATGAGATTAAGAATTTCTAAATATTGAGGACCCACAAAATCAAGACTCCACCAAATTAAAGATGCTACTAATTAATCAAACAATAAGTATGTTTATTGAAAAAGTTTAAAGCTAATAAACAAACCTTAGTTATTATGGATTGATAGGATTATTCAGATTCATCCAGAAATATTTGGTAGGACCCTCTTGTACAAATTCTATGATGGATTATGATTTAATCAAGACCCTATCAATTCATAGTAAAATTTAATTTTCTAATTATTCTTTCAATGGAAGCTGAATAATTACCAATATTAAAAGTGAGTGAGTCACAACTCACAACTATTAATAACTAGTGAAATGCGAATGTCACATGAAACTTAAATTATTATGCTAAATGATCAAAAAATTTAATCAAAAATTTTAAAAAATTATAATATTTTTTATATTAAAATAAATTGATCATTTTTTATATTTAGTTAAAAGGATAAAAATATTCAAAAAGGTAAAATAACATAGGTATAATGCCATTCGGATCAAATTCTGGTCAAAAGATTTTTTCTTTTTATATATGATCAAGATACTACGAAGGATATTGTGAAATTAGAGCCTGAATTAGAATTTTGAATTTGTAGTTTTTGAATATTGCATTAAAAATGTTGAATTT